CAGTCTGCTACCCACCTGGGTCTAGTTTCAGTCTGTCAGCAGAATCTGGTGCATCACTGATTGTAACTGCTGGTGGTGAACTTGAAACAGAGACTGCCAGCTGCATGTGCTGAGCTGTCTCCAGAGTGCATGTTGCCCTGAGCTAACAATAAGCCAGACTCATATTCTTCCTTATTTTGTCTTTTGCTGCTGCTCTCCTGGACCCAGCAGACCACAGGAGTGAGATGCGTTTACTGCTAATGTCTTGTGTGTCATTGGTATTTTCCCATCTTGTAAACCCATTATTCGAATCCCTGAGCAAAACCCCATGCATTCCTTCAAGTTGCTCATCAGCACCCCCTTCCATAGCATATGCCCTGCTCAGGCCCTCCATGCCTCTGTGTCCATCCCCTTCCCATACCTCTCCCTGCCTCTGCTATTTCCATTCCAGCCTTTGAGTCCCTGTCCCTGGCTCACTCCTTTGTATCTCTCCACCTGGGAGTGTAACGTTTGGATTCTTTTCTCCTACAGGAAGATGATTTGAACGGCATCCACATTGTGGCCTTTGCAGAGAAGAGTGACCCAGGTAGGAAACCCCCGTATGCTCTTTTGGACCTTTAGCAAAAACCGACTTCTCACCTTTGGCAGCCCTCTCCTTTTTCTTCCCTCACAGCCCATCTACAATGAAACTGCAAGATATTGGGCACCCCCTGGTGGTCGCCGGTTAGGTATGAGTCCATTTTCAATCCTGCACACAGCTAAGGGAAGAGGACAGATAGAACCTCAAACATTCTGCTTAGCTGCCCAAACTAGGGCGGAGCTCTGAGCACTGGGGAGGGTATGAAAACATCCTAGCTTCACAGGATATGCATGTGTGTGTGCACGCCTGCATGTGTGTGTGAACTTGTGTTCACACTAAAAGTTTATTTAGCAATGTTGTGATCTAGCCTATACATATCACAATCCTGCCTTAAAATAATAACAAATATATCCTTTGAGCTGCAAAATATTGCCTGTGCTTAGGAAACTGAATATAAAATATTCCCCTACATAATGAGAACTGAGCAAAACAAGCAGCTTCTTTTAAAATTGCAAGATGAACATATAAATGGATGAGTAACTATGTTTTATTTTTGGAACCTGGAAAACTTTTCCCTGGTTTCACTCTTTTCAACACTAGTGGAGAGTGAAGTGCAGAAGAATTTGTTTTGCGGGTGTTAAAATGCTGCTTCCCTGTCAGTGCTCTGTGAAACACAAGGTCCCCAAAGGAAAGGTGGATATGGAGATTCTGAGATGATCCAGAATGCAACCGGAGAAGGCAAGGAGCTTCATTTAGGATGACTTAGCGGCTAGGCATTAGGCCACAAGGTGCCTGGGCAGGGCATCCAAAACCTGGCAGTGCACAGAACTGCTAGTGCCAAAGCCACCTCGGGCTGGCTGAGACAGCACCCTCAGGAACCTGTGATTTTTTGGGCCCTGAGGCAAGTTCTAATGCACCTCAGGCTTGGGAACCACTGTAGAAGGTAATATAGAATTATATGGCATTTGTCAGGTGCCTCAGCCTCTCGTACACTTGTAGGAAATGATACAGGGATGACCTCCACGGGACAGACCAGGCAACAGAGCCTTAGAGAAGCTAAACAAACTGCTCAAGAGAACATTTAGTGGCAGACCATGAAGGAGGAACAGAGAGTCTTGTTCATTGATCTATACCTGGTTCTCGCACAGTATTTTGACACGTGGTGGGTGCTCAATAAATATGTCAGGCAAATGATTGGATAGTCAGATGACTGACCAAGCCTGAGCCCCAAACTCTTCACTGTCAGGCCAGTTCTTTTTTGGGGGG